GCCTGTCTGCACATCATCAAGATGAAGAGGAGGAATTCTGGGAGTTAAAGCCCACAAGTTTGAACAACCCTGGTTTTTTTTTTCTAAAGGGTTAGGGGTGCAAGGGTCTTGTAACTTGATAGCTTTAAGACATTTTGGTTGCTAAGCAAGAGCGTTGTTAAGTGAACTTCACCACATGTTACAAGTTGGCCACGCCCACCCAGGCACATGACTGCCAAGCCACTCCCACCTGGTCACATGGCCGGCAAGCCACTCCCACAAAGCAGGCCACACCTACAGAAGAAGTTCTAAAAAAATTTGAAACCCACCACTGTAAGCAGCCCATTTTTTCAACAAAGAGGGAGGAGACATTTATATGTTGTCTTTTTATAAAAGCCACACTGATTAAAACCTGGAAAGGCAGCGGAATCCTTAAAACATCCCCAAATGCATTTCCTTTAGCAAAAGGCTTATATTTGAAAATATACACACACAAAAAAACAGTAATGATAATATGCTTTATTTTTGTGTCCCTGTGCTGACCCTTTCTATTTTTCACCATTTTATTTTAGGTTGGTATTGTACTGCATTATTCTACACTTTCTACAATGCTTTGGATTGGAGTGACAGCAAGAAATATTTATAAACAAGTTACAAAAAAGCCTCAGACAGCCCAAAACAGTGATCAGCCTTCTTATCCCAAGCAGCCATTGCTCAGGTATGGATGATTATGGACATGTTTCCTTTCAAATTGGCTTTATATATGTATGGCCATAGCTAACCTCTTCCAGTTGACTTTAATAGTTGGCAAATCACACTGCTAAGAATGTCTTTTAGAGTCATATTGCAGCTAAAGTGAGGAATGAAATTACAGTTTGAAATTGGCTTAAGGTTGACTGTTCTGACAATGGTAATCATAATTAACTATGATAAATTTGAAGACTCGTGATTATTTGCATCTCATTGAGAAACAAATGAGGGAAGGAGCGGCACATAAATTTGCAAATACAGGTCATATACATCTTGCTTTAAAGACATTTCTCTGGAACAGGCCCAATTATATAATGATTTGACTGTTCATTATTTCCTGTGCTTTTACACCAAGAAAAATAGTAAACAGTGTTCAGGAATCAAAACAGAAAATAAGGAGCATAAGCCATTAATTATTCATTCATTAATTAATCCTAAACATTCTAGTATGATTTCAAACTAGTGTGTCCAATTCTGCAGAATAATTTTTTTGTTTTAATTCTATTGTTTACATTGGCTTTGCTGGCGTTGCTCTCTGGATACCCATAGCATCCTTGGAGACTAAAGCTTCAGAATTTCCTATGAATAATAATGTTGCCAAATAATTTGAGGAAAGTAAAATCTGTTTTGTAAGTCATTTGTTCAAACTGTGAAGGAAAAATTGCTGCAGTTTTCAATACAGATTGTGGCACCATAATCTATAGTCATTAATTTATGTTCTTTAAAATATTTAGTGGATGTTTACTTTAAATCCTTTCAAATCCGTCCAGTGGTTCATTTAATAGAGAATTTTTTGAATTATGTTACATTATGATAGTGTTTTTCTGTGAATCTGTGTTACTTCATTTAAAAATCATTGTCACGGTTCATTCTTAGGAATGTTTAGTAGTTGAATAATTGTGGCGACCTTAGTACTTTCTGAGGTCGGTTTCTTGCAGACAATTCATTACCAATGCAAGTAACATTATTAGTGCTAGAAGGGAAAAGAGGTTTGGCTTGGTCTTCCATTATCAAACTAGATAACATTATCAGTGATTAAAGAGTGTAGGTTTTCCAAACCCCCAACTCCCTTCTAGCACTGAGGATTTGGTAATGAACTGTCAGGTAATGAAATGTGTGCAAGAAAACCACCATCCCACAGTTCAGCTCTGAGCCACAAATATTCTCTTCTATTAGTTGAATAACTGCTGACTTAAGTACAATAATCAAGATGGAATATTATTTTAGGTTGCAAAAACAGAGCATGCTGTGTGTTTATTAAACAGAAGTCACTTTATACACTACTGTTGCTGAAGGGACATAGGGATATTTATTAAAGTTCTGAGAAATGAATAAGGTTGGAGTTAATCAGTAGGCTTTCTCAAGGTGCAGTATGTTATAACTTACTCTTTTTTTTTTTGAAGGAACATCTTAGTACGAGTAGAATTGTAAGGAAGGACAGGTGAATGTATTATTTTTCGTGTGTCTAACATGGAGGCTGTTCTGTATATTTCAATTACCAGCAACCATAGCACAGTGGCTCATGTGTTAGGACCCTGGATTGACTTGCAACAAGGCTGCATTTGAGACCCAAATTGTGCCATGAGACAGGGGGAGTTCTAGTCATTGGCTCCAACTCCTGCCAACCTAGCAATTTGAAAGCATGCATTCACAAGTAGATAGACAGGTACCACTTCAATGGGCACATTAACAAGGACATGGAAGGAGCCCCCAGCTGGGTGTCCCCCAGGTAACA